TAAGCCAACCTAGGCTTGTCGACAGTTGAACGCCTCATCAGGCATGGTTTAGCTCAGTAACCGACGGTAATCGAGGAAAAGCAGACGTTGTCGCGACATCTTGGCAGCAAGTGTTCACGCGTTCAGCCCGTAAAGAAGACAAAAATAGACAAAGATTCCTCCTAATGTAAGTAGGTTTCAAGTCAACGGGCAAAAAAAGCTAAATAAACTCATGTTTAGGCAAAGAAAACCCGGACTGCTGTTTCCCGTTCATCGTCAACTGCCGTAAGCGTTTCCTTTCTGCTAGAAGCTCAGTAGCTTTAATAGTAGCAGTGTATAGGCAGGCGCAACTAGGAGAAGACCTACCACAAATAAAATAGAGAGAGAAAAAAACATAATTGAGGTCTATGGAGAAGAAAAACAAACGTTAGAATTTTAAGCGGCCCCGAATAAGAAGAAGTACCGGTAAACATTTACGTAGCCCGGGCTCTACGGCAGATGCCGATTCATTTTTTTTTTTGCGGGAATAGGCTCAGCGAAATATCAGATAATTTTTTTACTATTCATCTACAAAGCTTTACATTTAAGGAGAGTTTCGCTCGACATCGCCGCAAGCAAATTGACAACGACCTGCGTTCGGCATTGGAGTAAAGTCAGAAATTTTATAATTTTCTAATATAGTTTCTGTGCAACAATGCAGCACTTGCTTCCCGAGAAAACCTCAAACCGTCCGTTGTATGTGGCCTACTTTAGTTAATTAGTTCCGTGCAAACAGCTTCTCTAACAGCTGCGGTTTAGTTACGAAACCTTGGTAAGCAGTAACCGTAGTAAACCTCTCTCGTGAAAACACGGCATTAGCTGAATGTTTGGAAAATAACCTTGATAAGATGCCAAAGTTATAGGAACATTATGAGTGATATAATTTGCAAAAAAAAGAGATAGAAGTTTAAGTTCATACAATAATGTTCAATTGTTTTCAATGAGTAGAGAGTCCTCTCCACTAAATCCACTAATCACAACATTGATTACAATCACTGTAGTAACCAATTCAAGAGACTGACTTTGTAAAATTAAGGAGGTTTAGTCTCCGGTGACTGTTTTGAAAGAAACTTAATAGCCATTTTGCAAGCTATTATCCATATTTTTAATTATGATATTAATAAGTGCCTATTAAAAGCTCTTTTTCAAATGAAACTTTTACTTTTGTGGGAATTTGTAATTGATATGATTAATTGGTAACAGGACATCGTGTCGTCCAATTCAGTCTGTAATCATACTCGTGATTAACAAATCGGACTCCCGCTTCACGGTCGTCCGATTTTGTTAATCACGCGTATGATTACAGACCGAATTGGACTCCATTCAGTCCTATTACCATTCTATATAAACACCAATGAAATACTAGGTGAGTTTTCGCGCGAAAACATGATATCTTCACACGTGAAAATATAACATGATGTTTTCGCGCCAAATGGAGGCTATTGTTTATTTATCTTCACACGAGAAAAGGTCACCGTTGCTATGGTTATATAAATTGCGCGCCTTCGTCTGGACAAATTTTCATCAGAATGGCTGACGAACCAAACTGGAATCTAGATTTTCTCGATTTCGACGACAGTTCTAAGTGCGTATTTATTGATGTGCCCAAAGGTGATGTTGACATAAGCTTATTACTCAACAAGAGAACGAAAATACGAAGGAAAAGACCATGCATGACCTCAACATTGTTCTAAAATATCTTCGCAAGGTTCGCAAAGAAGGCGGAGAATTACAGAAAATACCACCGGAAGAAGTGAACATATTCCGCAGTGAGTTCATTATTGCAGCTAGTACAAAGAAAGGTGAACAATACGAGCCGCCTTCTCTCAGAGGAATCTTATCAAGCGTTGACCGTTATCTCACAAGGCTCGAATTAGGAATAGGCTGTTTATCAATCCCGAATTTGCGAGATTGAAAGACGCATTGAAAGCAAAGCAAAAAGAACTGGAAAAAAAATGGCCGAGGGAATAAACCGAATGTAACCACAACTCTCTCGGATGAGGAAATCGATATTCTCTTTGAAAAAAAAATTCTTGGGAACAAGTTCTCCGCTCTCGCTACTGAACAACAGTTTGGCTGAATAATATCATACACGTCAGTCTCAGAGGCTGCACAGAACAACGAAACTTGCGCTGGGGCGACTTTGTTTTGGAGACTGATAGTCAGGGCAAAGAATATCGCATAATCAAAGGTCTAAAGACGCCATTTTGACCTTACCTTGAAAAACCACTGAAGAAGACCGCTTTTGTTATTTATTTGGTGTAGCAGATCGGTTCGATTGAATTAAGTTCGACGTTTGACTGAAACAGGCGTTCTTTTAATTATTTGAGTCGACCCAAACTGTCATTGGGTTCGGCTCATGTTAAGTACGGCGTTTGACCCGGGCCTAATATTTGTTATTACATCTTATAAAGTGCTTTGTTTTTTGCTAGCTCCTTAGCTTTTGACACTTTTGACACTTTTGGCTTTGAAGGTTTTTCTCGCTCTTTGTCTTAAATATACCAACTGGCTTTAAACCGGCTTTTTGCGAAATCTGTAATTCTAAGGGCCATTATTTCAGCCTCTGCTACATTGCAATAAAAAGGAATTGGCATGTCGTTCACGCTTTAAGACCGTCTACTTCTTCCATTTTTAGCCATGACACGTTCTACTTAAGACTAAAAAAATATTTTAGAAGGAATCCACCAAAAGTTCGAGTAACAAGCGGATAAAAACTTTGTACCAAGATTATTTGCATCATATTGCAAACTTCCGTGCGACTGTTTTAAATGTCTTCTAAAGAGAAATAATTTTTAGCTCTTAAGGCCGGTTTCCATATGATCGCAGACGATCGCGGATCGCGGATCGCAGATCGCAAAAAGTTCTGCGA